TCACATCAAGAAACAAGAAAGAACTCAAAGAAACAACCTAATCTTGAAGCTCAAAGACCTAGAAAAAGAACAACAAAAAACCCCCAAAACCAGCAGAAGAAAATAAATAATAAAAACCAAAGCAGAAATAAATGAAATTGAAACTAAAAAAACAATCCAAAAGATCAATGAAACCAAGAGCTGGTTCTTCAAAAAAATAAATTAATTAGACAAACCCTTAGCCAGGCTCACAAAGGAAAAAATGGAGAAAGCACAAATAAACAGGATCATAAATGAAAGAGGAGTAATCACAACGGACACAGCAGAAATCAAAAGAATAATAAGAAACTACTATGAACAGTTATATGGAAACAAGTTCAACAATCTAGAGGAGATGGACAAATTCCTACAACTCTACAATCACCCAAAGCTAGATAAAGAAGAAATAGAACACCTAAACAGACCAATTACAAGCAGCAAAATTGAAATGGTAATCGAAAACCTCCCCAAAAACAAAAGCCTGGGACCTGATGGATTTACAAATGAATTCTACCAAACATTCAGAAATGAATTAATGCCTATCCTTCACAAACTCTTCCAAAAAATTGAGAAGGAAGGGACAAAACCAAACATGTTCCATGAAGCCAACATTGCACTAATACCAAAACTGAACAAGGACAACACAAAAAAGGAAAACTACAGGCTAATCTCCCTAATGAACACTGATGCAAAAATCCTCAATAAAATTTTAGCTATCAGAATCCAACAATGTATCCATAAGATAATTCACCACGACCAAGTAGGATTCATTCCAGGGACACAAGGATGGTTCAACATCCGAAAATCAATCAACGTTATCCAACACATCAACAAAAAGAAATATGAAAATCATATGATAATATCAATAGATGCCGAGAAAGCTTTCGACAAAGTGCAACACCCATTCATGATAAAAGCCCTTGAAATTCCTGGGATACAAGGAACACACCTCAAAATCATTAAGGCCATCTATGACAAGCCAACAGACAGAATCATTCTCAATGGTGAATAGCTGAAAGCATTTCCATTAAGATCTGGAACAAGACAAGGTTGTCCACTCTCACCACTGCTTTTCTATATAATACTGGAAGTCCTAGCCAGAGCAACAAGACAAGAGAAAGACATACAAGGAATCCAAATAGGAAAAGAAGAAGTCAAACTATCACTAGTTGCAGATGATATGATAATATACATAGAGAACCCCAAAAACTCCATAGAAAAATTAATTCAACTCATCAATCAGTTCAGTGAAGTGGCAGGATACAAAATCAACATGCAAAAATCAGTAGCCTTCCTATACACAATCAATAAATCTGAAGAAGAAGAAATAAAAAGAAAACATCCCTTTTATTATCGAATCCAAAAAATCAAATATTTGCGAATAAATCTAACAAAAGTGGTAAAGGACCTATACAAAGAAAACTATAAAACACTGTTAAAAGAAATCAAAGAAGACACAAAGAAATGGAAAGACATCCCCTGCTCATGGATTGGAAGAATAAACATTATTAAAATGGCCATCCTACCAAAAGCAATATGCAGATTCAATGTTATTCCAATAAAAATTTCAATGTCATTCTTCAAAGAAATAAACAGTTATTGATGAAATTCATATGGATTCACCCAAAACCCCAAATAGCCAAAGCTCTCCTGAAAAAAAAGAAGGAATGGAGGCATCAGACTCCCAGACTTCAAACTATACTACAAAGCCATAATCATGAAAACTGCATGGTATTGGAACCAGAACAGACACACAGACCAATGGAATTGAATAGAAAATCCAGAAATAAACCCACAGATTTATGGTCAACTAATCTTTGACAAAGGAGCAAAGACTATGCATTGGAGCAAAGATAATTTGTTCAATAAATGGTGCTGGGAAAACTGGGCTGCTACATGCAAAAGAATGAAGCTTGACTACGACCTAACACCATGCACAAAAACCAACTCAAAATGGATTAAAGAACTAGACATAAGGCCTGAAACCATAAAATACACAGAAGGAAATATAGGTGAAACACTCCGTGATATGCACATCAAAGACATCTTTACAGACACTTCACCCAAAAAGCAGTGATAGTGAAGGCAATGATAAACAGCTGGGACTACATCAAATTAAAGAGCTTCTCTGCACAGCAAAAGAGACAATAACAACAACAAAGAGAAACCCCACCAACTGGGAGAACATTTTTGCGCACAACACTAATGATAAAGGACCAATCACAAAAATCTACAAAGAGCTGATGAGACTCAACAACAACAAAGAAAATAATCCAGTCAAAAAATGGGCAGAAGAGCTAAAAAGAAACTTCTCTGAAGAGGAAATGCAAATGGCCAACAGGCATATGAAAAAATGTTGAACATCACTTGTCATCAGGGAAATGCAAATCAAAACTACCATGAGATACCATCTTACACTAGTGAGAATGGCACATATTAAAAAAATTAGCAACAACAAATGTTGGTGAGGTTGTGGAGAAAAAGGAACTCTCCTGCACTGTTGGTGCGAGTGCAAACTGGTGCAAACACTATTGAGAGCTGTGTGGAGATTTCTTGACTCACTAAACTGAGCTTCTATATGATCCGGCAATTCCACTGGTAGGTATTTACCCAAAGGACACAGAAACAGTAATTCCAAAGGGCACCTGCACCCCTATGTTTATAGCAGCACTATTTACAATAGCTAAGCTTTGGAAACAACCCAAATGCCCAAAAATACATGACTGAATCAAGAAGATGTGGTACATATACACCGTGGAATATTACTCAGCATTCAAAAACGATAAACACATGCAATTTGCAGCAGCATGGATGGAGCTGGAATGGATGATGCTCAGCGAAATAAGCCAGAAAGAAAAAGAAAAATAGTGGATGGTCTCACTCATAGCAGGAATCTAGAAAACTTAAATAAGGGACCAGGAGAAAGAATAACTATAAGAAAAAAAATATCAAAGTCAACAAACAACTATGAACCAGAGACCTATGGGAGGTGCAGGACAGGGAAAGGAGGGGTTGGGGTCAAAAGAAGGGGGTTGTAATTGTATGAGGATTATAAAAATAAAACTGAAATAAAAAAGGAAAATGATATTATAGGCCTATCTCATTTACAAATACAATTTTAGCTATTTCTTAAAAATAGTATTAAATATAAAAGTAATATTCTAAAAATAATACATCACAGAAAAATACAGTTTATTCCAGGAATACATGTATTATTTCACGTTAGAATTTTTTTTAGCACAGTAACTACACAATAGGTTATAGAAGATAAGCAATGTAATCATCTCAGCAATGTAATCATCTCAGTTTTAAGTTCTATAAAATCATAATATTGATAAAATAGACTATGGATATTATCAGCATTTAAACTTGGAAAAGTTTGTAAAGGTTAAATTATGACTACATCACAAACAGTGAATTTTCTCCGACAATATTGATGGGAGTATAAACCACTATATTTGTTCTGTAGAAGAAATTTGCAACATCACTTAATCTTTGCAATTGTTAATGGGCATATCTTTTAACAGAGGGATTCCAGTTGTATTTATTTCTACACAGAATCGCTTTCACATAAATACTAGGACATATACATGAGGGCATATACACAAGGATGTTTACTGCAGCAATTTTGAAATAATGAAATAGTTTAAACAATATAAACATTCTTAACTAAATAAAATGTGATGCATACATTTGATGAAATAATTTAGATATTTATGTGACTATATCTTAAAACCCTAATGGGTATGATGCATATATTTTGATATAACTATATACATTTGAAAACACTAATATTTACATATTTTTCATTTAAAGTATTTTAAAACTTTGGGCTTCCCTGGTGACACAGAAGATAAGCTGCAACCTATGGAGTTGTCTGCAGCCACTGCGGCACGAGTTTGATCCCCAGCCAGGGAGCTACCCAGATGGCGCAGCAGACCTCTCTCTCCTGACTCACCCGCTGCTCCCCTCAGCAGTGTATTTCAGTCTGCCTGTTTGTTCCCCACTCTGTTTCTGGTGAATCCCCTCACCTCCCCACCTCTGGCCTGTACCCCAGTTGTTGCATGTATACATAAATAAATCTTTAAAAAAATAAAATATTTTACATTTTTTAGAAAAACGCAATCCTTTCCGCCTCTGGGCATGACTACTGAAAATGTAAAAAAATCTATGGAAAATTTAATTTTCCTTCTTGGAGTGGGCATTAAGATTGTTATTTTTACTAGTTATTTTGTCTGTTGTCTACTGGGATGTATAAAGATTTAGATTTAGGTAATCATATTTCTCATTAGATATTTGGTTGTCCTAATCCATTAATGAGAAAAGTATTTTAATATGGCCACAGTTTAATTACTAATAGCAACGAGAGAAATAATAAGTTTGCATGGATAGTACCTCAGTTATCTTATCAATTTCTTCTGACTAGATTATGTTTTTCTTTTCACTATGGATGCTCGTGGGTTTTTTTGGAACCACTTTAGTTGAGACATTTGAGACCCGTCTGGGTAAACTGCCCCAGCATCCTGATTAAACAGGTGGGCAAAAACTGTGGACCTGCTTTTCTGTCTTTCATCCTGTTCAAATATTTTGGTCCACCAGACTGACAAAACTCACCATACTGGGCAAAAAGCACTAGAGCCTGACTAATGATTGTCAGACAGATTCCTGGAGCTGACAGCTCAGAACCCTCCAAGCCGAGTGGGATCTGAATCAACCTACGCATGCCTGGGTACAGACCAAGCCAGGACAAGCTATGGTGTGTCTCCTCTGCTCCCTCTGTGGACCTGCCCTTTTAAAAATGTGGAGCCAGAGCAAAGATTTCCTTTTCTGGTATTAGTGCTCTCACACACAAGCCTTCAGTAAAACCTTGCCTGGTTCAGCAGAAACTCTCTGGTGAATTCTTTCTCCTAGTGGATCCCAGGACTCGTACATTTTTGGGGGTTCTGCAGCAGCATTATTCTTCTTACTCTATTGAGCCAGAGTTATTGATCTCTACTATCATGATTACTTAGGATTAACCTGTGTTAAAATACTTTATTATTATTATTTTTTAACAAAACTACATTTTAAAATAATAATGTTGCCAATATGTTTAATCAAGTTCTAGAATGAAAACCCGTACGGATCTAAATAATATTTTGTAAATAAATAACTACTTTGACTATATGGGACACCAAGCCAATATTTTTAAATGTATAAAATTACCAAAAAATGTCATTATGATGTTAGAACAGATAAAAATTTTACATTCAACATGAAAAAATTTTAAGTTCTATAAAATCATAATATTGATAAAAACAAATGCTATATAAATGACATTTTCATTTTAAAGAAATGAACATTTTCATTTTAAAGAAATCTGCTTACTTTTGTCAATTTTAAATATCCACATTTAATGATAATACACAAAATTGTCTGCATATTTGTTTTAGATTCCAGCTATAGAACTGCGGGGGCAGTGGCCACAATGGATAACACTGTTGACCACTAACGAGAAAGTTCCAATTCTAGGGTTCAAGTCTTGATCAAAAGAGATTAAGACCTATTCTATGCTGACAAGGGCTATAGAAAAGCGAAATATTCAGGCTCATAGCTCACATCCCTTGGAGGCTTCCTTTGTACGTAGGTGAGATCAGAACAATTCCTGGGTGTAATGAATCCCAAATGCCTCAACTGAATGAACAAGAATCGACAATCCCTTCAATATGGCAAACTGTTAGATAAAAATGGGATTTGGTGTGGGTGTTTGCGTTTATTCTTTTATGTAAATTGCAGGCTGAATACCAGCTACTTCTGCTCTTGATTGTGTGCTCCAGGGAGCAATACGAAGCTTTCTCAGATAGATCCAAGCCCCTGCAGCTTTGTTCTGAGCTCTGCCTCCCCAGGGCAGAGAGTGGCGGCCGTCGGTTTCTTCTGTGCCAGTCTCGTTAGTCGCTGTGAGTCACGAGAGCAGTAACTCCAGGATTTATGAAAATATGACACATATATTCATACACATACTTACAAATACTTATTGATTTATTCATAGAATCTTTACAAAGGAGCCAAAAAAAAGAGAACATTTCAAGAAAGGAGCATACAAAGCATTTGGAGGGCGTCACATTTATTATTGAAAGGAAATTTTATACCTTTTTTTATTTAGGAGTTTTTTTTTTAATTTAGGAGATTTAACTGTGATCTTGTAAACGAAAGGAGAAACGATAATGATGCCTAAAAGTTCCAATATTTGAGGGATTGCATGAATACATTTCACATTTTTCTCTATTGTGTGTCTCTTACCAACAACCTTCTTAAAGCCCATTTAACCTCTTTGTTTCTCAAAGTGTAAATCAAAGGATTAAGAGAGGGAGTCACCACAGTGTAGAAGAGGGTGAGGAATTTACCGTGATTCTGTGTGTACTTGCTCTTGGGCTGGATGTAGACACAAATTATAGTCCCGAAGAACAAAATCACAACAATTAAATGGGACCCACAGGTCCCAAATGCTTTCCTTCTGCCTTCCACAGATTTTATCCTCAGCACGCTCCTGACAATGCAGCCGTAGGAGAACAAAATAAGTCCCAGAGGTATAATCACATAGAGGACAATAGCGGTGGAGAGCTCATTTTCCAGGAAGGTTGTGTTCACGCAGGCGATTTTAATCAGGGCAGGCTCCTCACACATAAAGTCATCCACCCGGTGGTGGCTGCAGAGAGGCAACTGGAAAACGAGAATGGTCTGGACGGTGGACTCCACGAACCCACTGATCCAGGCCACTGCGGCAAGTTGCTGGAGAAGCTTACGGTGCATGATGACACTGTAGTGGAGGGGGCGGCAGATAGCATTGAAGCGGTCATAGGCCATCACCGTCAGGAGGACACACTCAGTGGAGCCCAGCCCCAGAGCGACGTAGAGCTGGACCACACAGCCCGTGAATGAGATAGTCTTCTCCGGGCCCTTGAGATTCCAAAGCATCTGGGGGACGATGCTGGTGGTGAAACAGAGGTCCAGGAAGGAGAGATTAGACAGGAAGAAATACATGGGTGTGTGGAGTTTGGGGTTCAAGTATGAGACCAGTATGATGGCTGTGTTCCCCATCAGTGTCAGAATGTATATGACAGAAATGACCACGAGGAGAACCATCTCCAGTTGGGGCTGGTCAGAAAAGCCCAGTAAGATAAAACCATCTGGGTTACTTAAATTTGTCCCTTTCATTGCTTCTTAATTATGAGACACTTTTCTTGGTCACCCCTATATTATTCCTGTGGAAAGAAAATCAGACACCATAACCAATGGAAGCTTAGTAAATGGAGTAAAACTTGAGCATGAGGACACTGCAATTATTTGTACATAAAGCCACCGACAAAGATGAAATGAAACTATTCTAAAGGTAATAGGTGGACAAGTAGACTTGTTCTGTAGAAAAGACAGAAATAGACAAAGTCATGGAAACACCAAATGCCTTGAAAGGAAATAAACAAGGACTAGACATTGGAGTATATGCCAAAGCAGATTTGTGATATTTATCTGGAAATAAAATACATAAGCCATCAATGTGCTTACAATGAGAAAACAAAGAAATGGAAAATTAAATGATGGTTGCACACATAGGTATGTGATGGAGAAGAGATAAAGTAGGTAAATTGAAAGATAAGTTGAATGAGCGGGAGTCAGAGAGAGAAGGTATGTAGACTTGGAGACAGACAAAATAAAATTAGAATTTTCCAATAGGAGCACAGATGATTATCTTTAATATTCATTGTTTTTATAAGAAGCAAGTAATAACTACAGAAAATGACTACTGAACTGATAATTGAGTTAAGAAAGACTCATGATCTCCTTATTAGATTCATTGGTTTATCATCTTTACAAATATCACTCTTTAGAAAAATGTAATTCAGTCCCCAGTAAGCAAGCTCTTTCCCTGGTGGCATTAACATCCATGTGTTTTTTAATATGTTGCTTAACAAGAGTATAGAAATTTAGTCAACAACTACAATTCAGTGGCCTTTCATAAATTAAACTGTATAAAATTAATCACTGTAGTTTAAGAGCATAATTTGTAAAGATTAAGGGATGTAGCACTTCTGAATGGCCATTTTTGCAGTCTCAAAATGATTGTAGCACTTTGATTACCCATGGGATTAAAGTAGAAATAACTTCCTGAAAAACAAACAAATAAGTGAAGAACTCTAATGAAAACTATTTGTCCTTAAATATTCTGACTAGGAAACACACACTCATGTGGAAAAGACTTAGGTCATTATTCCTGGTCTCATGGAATTATTGCACAATCCAGTTTAAAGATCATAGAGGACTTTTTTCTTTTGGAACCATGAGTAATAATCATTTTCATTTTGAAATTTGTCATGGTGTAACTGTTGGGTGGTTTGAGTAAAGGGTCATCTTTTCAGAATTATAAGAAGAGAGGGAAACTGTTACTGGTAGTCACAATATTTAGCATAGTCTCTATGGCTAAAATATCAATGAACAATAAAAACTGTGAATGGAGTGACATTGACTTTAGCTAAATTTCCTCTGCTATAAAGCAAAGAGAGCAAGGACTGTGTTGCTGAAAGAGTCTATGTCTTCTTTCCTGGAACAAAGGCAATTAGTGGTCTCAATTTGCCTGATATATTCTACATTGTCACAATTTTATCCTTGGGGATTTATATTCGAAGAATAACCAGTATTTTCCAGCAAGCTGCTCATTAAATGAGGCTGGAAATAACAACCCTAAAACCTGACTGTAGAATAGAGGCTACCGGAGGAGAGGGAGAGAGGGGAAAGCAAAGTGGGGGGATGCACAATGGACTGTGGTGGAGAACTTTCAGTACTTTGGTGGCAGATGTGGTGTGACACACACCTGAAGGGTGTGATCATACACCTCAAAATCATGTACAGTGTTGTAAACAATGTTGCCTCAAAAAAAAAAAAAGAAAAATAAGACCAACAAATTGAGGATGAGGGTTTATGTCTGCAAAGACAGGAAACTTAATACACTATGAGTAATGAGTATCGGGTTATAGATAAAAAACTGCTTCTGTTCACCATGAAAGGGACCCAGTTTTGGATTTTCTCAACTTTTAAAATATATTTAAAATATATTTTTTAAAACATATTTCCCTTTATTTCTTTTTCCATGACAGAAAGACCTACCTTTAAGGAAGAATGACAATCAGGTTGCAGAGGTGGTTGGTGGTTGTGATGAACTGTTTCATCACAATCACAGTTCCTGGACAGGCTGTGGAGAAACCACAGGTAACCCCTACACTCACTTCCCCTGGTGCATCTACATCCTGTAATATTTTGGTTTAAACTTTCTTTCGATGGATTCCATGTATAGCTGTTTACTCAACAGCACAACTTTCTGGAGCTCTCCTTCCAAGACAATCACCCTTCACTATATTAGAGAGGAAGACAGGTCTCTGGAGAGAGAAGAGTCACAACGGCTTGTGCCTCTGCTTCTCCTGGGAGCTAATAGACTATTACCACCTTCTGAACACACATGCACACCATGTATGCATGTGTGCATACATTTGTTTTCTGTAAAGCTACCCATAATATATACTTCTATGCTATCATGATAGATAGCTGTTATCTGTTATGAATAACAGATATGGAGGACAATAAAAATTCCAAACATTGAAGAACATCCTTTGGTTCTACATACAATAAGCTTTGCAAGGCCAGTGAAGGTCATTCACCTGCTCTCTATTATATATACTATTAAAAGTGCCAATGTTATTTTTGATAGTTTGTTAAAGATCTGTTAGTGAACCTCTTTTTTGTGTGCAGACAGACAAATGTCTGTATATACATGCATGAAGCTAATGCATAATTACAGAAGATCTAAGAACTGATCTAAAGACTTCTGAGAAATAGGAAATGATGGGGAGGAAGTAGATGCTGTTGTATAGTATAAGCAGAGAGAGGGCATTGCAGATTCATGAACTCTCTTAAAAATGGTTAAAAATAAAGCTTTTATATCATAAGACAATTATGCTCTACACACAGCAGGGCTATCACTTCTTGAAAAACAGGCTGAGTTTCTCTATAGTTTTCTCTAAAGTAGATACTATATATCCTGTTTTTGGGTGAAATGCTCCACTAGGGGTGAATTAATAGTTTCAAAGGATATAAGTATGTATGCAGAAATTTACATGCATCTAATCTGAACATGAAAATGTTGATTCATATTGGGATGTTCTGTTCCAAAATGTTTGTGAGGAGGTACATGATAGTAAACATTAGAAACAACTGATGTATAGACTCATATTTGTACTTCTATAACCTGCTCTTTCAATTATAGTGCCAAAGGGGATAAAATATTTGCTAGATATATTGGTCCTAGGTTTGTTTGACTTCATATCTAGTCAATGTCCCTTTCTACTCTGTTCTGTGTTATAGGAGGGCTGGTACATGAAGGCTCCCATATCCACTGGCTTTCAAATGGGAGATCTGGCAAGGGAATAAAGTGAAGAGAAAAGGGAGTCAGTGTACTTCTCTCTTCCACTATGCCCTGGAGATTTTTCTAGCTGTAACAGAAGTTTATTTAATTTTTTTGATTCTAACTCCAGTGACATCTTATCCAAAGTAATAAACAGATGCAACCCCTATCTATGTTTCAGTGGCATTCTTCAAAGATGTAGAACAATCATTACTGAAACATAGGTTTGCATTTGTATGGGGCCTCAAAACACCCTAAATATCAAAGAAATACTGACAAAGAGAAGAAGAATGGGTATATCATGCTCCCACACTTTAAATTGTAGTACAAAGCTATAATAATCAAAGCTGTATGGTACTGGCATCCAATGGACACAGAGACAAATGGAAGGAATTAAGCATCCAGAAATAAACCCACACCTACATGCACAGTTAATGTACACAAAAGGAACCCAGAATATATATTACAGAATGAAATTCCTCTTTAATAAACGGTGTTGGGAAAACTGGATAGCCATGTGAAAAATAATGAAACTACACTGCTATCTCACATGATACACAAAAATTAACTCCAAGTGGGTAAGCTTTGGATGTAAAACCTGAAACCACAAAATATGCAGAAGAAAACAGGCAAAATACTACATGATATAGGCTTCAGGGATATCTTCATGGATTTGTCTCCAACAGGAAGAATCTAAACCTTTTTAAACCTTTCCAAATGTATTTTATGAGGCCCAAATAATCCTGATGCCAAAAGCATCTGTTGTCATCTGGGTGACATCCATATTCCATAAAGATTTGTTTAAAGCATGTGAAATTAAATAGAATTAATTAATAGTAGTAGAACTAATGAAAAATTTTCACAAATAGATCCAATCTCTGCATATATATTTAGGAGTATCACCATAAAAATAATAATCTTTAAAATACAAATACAAGTGTCTGAAATAGATCAATATGTCATAAAGCTGACATCTAAAAAATTAATTTATTTTTCATTAATGTCCATTGTTTTACATTCTTATAACTATTTAGATAATATAGGATTTATCCTCTCAAGGGCTGACATTTTTAAATGTAAGGAATTAATACATTATTTAATGGATCATATAATGGTCCTTTAATTGGATCTCTATCTAACTCAACAATTTAATGAAAATATACATAAATGGGCTAAATATGTAAAGATTTCACTGTAAAACATAAGTTGAACTTATATAATGGGAGAAAAAAATAAATAGTTGCATAAACTTGTGATTTGTAAGGTTTTTATAAGAAAACTAAAAGCCATGGTAGTACATATTATTTTTTATCTAGCAGATTATAAAACAAAAATAATCACTGAATTAGAATGGTTTTTGTATGGTGACATTATGAGAAATAAATGGATTTTCAACTCTTTTAAATATAATAACTATCTCCATGAATTATCCTTAGTATATGATAATATGAGAACATATTTAATTTTAAAGCATTTAATTATGAAAAATATTTATGCCTTTTATCCTGCCTTTTTTCTCTGTAAGCATACAAAAAAGGAGAAAGTTTGCCTGACGTTAGCACATTAGAATTTCTCCCCTGAAGTGAATATCACTGCCTAATACTGACACGATTAAGTGAAAGTAAATATTTTTTGAGCAATAACCCCAGGAGAAAATCAGGTTAGAAAAAAATGAGAGGTACATTGGATGCTATTTAATTATGAAAAATATTTCATCACAGCAGTTTTTAATTTATGGTAAATTTATAAATAAATTTAATAACAA